TGTACATAGGGTCGCTATGAGTCGCAAGCGACTCCAGGGCACATAACAACAACAACAACAACAAACCACCAGAGCTCCATACACATTTATTTATACACACACACACACACACACACACACACACACACACACACACACACAGTGTGTGTGTGTGTTGTTGTTGTTAAGTGATGTCAAGTCATAGATGATTCATAACAACCTTATGAACAAAAGTCTTGAACACGCATAATTTTCTTTTCCTAAGTTTATAGAGTTTCCAGAGGCAAACTATTTCAGAAGTGGATGCCACTTCTGCTTCCCAGCCTGTCTTAATTTGGGAGCTCCACCAAACACTCTTCACCATGGGTAACCATTATTGCATTTAACACTTCGGTGTCACAGTGTTCAGCATCACAGCAACCATGAATTACCTTTGTACAGTAAATTGACAGACCAGTGCTATACTACTTAGAAGAATGTTTGACTGAAAACAATTAAAGCCAGCCCTGAGGGCACAGGCCCAAGGGCCCAAATGCCTTTTTAAATAGGAATCCACACCCAAGTCTCAACCAAAAAACCAGAAAACACACCTTTGTAGAATCTGGCTGCTCCACTCATCCTCCCAGGCTGGAAAGCAGCGCGCGTGTGTGTGTGTATGCAGTTCACACATATAAGACAAAATATTATCATTCAATCTAGATGAGTTTATAATGACCATCCTTTTTATATCTTTGTGATTTGCAAAGGTTTTATAGTGTCAAACTGAAAAGAACTGCATCATTTTTAACACCCAATTATACACTTTTCTTGTGAGTCCCCAGAGAAGTCCCTTGATTTCCAGAACACTGTCCTTTGTATTCTCATTCACTCAGGTTATTCCCAAGTTGAATGTTCTTCCCACTTTGTCCACTTTTTTGTATTCTGCTCATTCCCAGAAGGGATTTGCCTGAACAGCTGGAGCTGCATTCATCTCTTTCTATTCTTACCCCTCAATCCCACTGATAGTCTTACATGTACTTAATAAAAGTCCACTCTACTGGACTGATGGGCAATATAAAGACAGAAAGAGAAAAGACTGGAGTGATCAATAATGTCATTTTACTTGGGTCCACAATCAACACCCTTGGTAGCAGCAGTCAAAAAATTAAGACATGTTGCAGTGGAGAAATATGTTGTCAAGAACCTCTTCAAAATTCCAAAGAACAAGGATGTTGGAGACCAAGATGTGCCTGATCCAAGCCTTGGCATTTTCAATTGCTTCCTATGCAGAGCAGTGATGTCCATCTAGAGTCTAAGGTGTACCTGATCCAGGTCTCAATTGCATACTATGCATATGAGAGCTGGACAATGACTAAGGATGACAGAAGAAGAATCAATGCTTTTGAATTGTGGTGCTGGAGGAAGTGTTGAGCATACCATGGACTACCAAGAGAACAAAGAGGCATACCATGGACTTCCAAGGAACAAACAGGTTTGCCTTAGAGAAGATGAAACTAGGTTACTCCTTGGAGGCAAGAATTTTGAAACTTCCCCTCATGTTGTTTGAAGGGGCCAGTCCTTGGAGAAGGACATCACACTTGGAAGAATGGAGGGTCAGTGCAGAAGAGGAAGACTCTGAATGAAATGGATTGACATAGTGACTGTGACAGTGGGGACAGTGAGTCTGTGTCAGGACGGAGCAGGTTGCTATGAGTCAAAATTGACTCAATGATACATGACAACAACAACATGCCTGTGAAAGTTGGACAATGAATAAGGAAGATAGAAGAATAAGCAATGCCTTTGAATTCTGGTTTTGGTGAAGATTACTAGACACGTACAAATCTCTCTTAAAAGAAGTGCAACCAGATTGTTCCTAGTGGCAAGGATGATGAAACTTGGTCTTTCTTACTTTGAGCATATTTTTAGTACAAACCAGTCTTTAGAGAGAGACATCATGCTGCAAAATGCAGAGCATCAGTGAAAAAAGAGGAAGACCCTCAACAACATCAGTTGACAGGGTAACTGACCGCCACAATGGTCTTGAGCATGACAGAGACTGTGAGGATGATACAGCATAAGGCACACTTTAGACTTTTTGTACATAGAGTTGCTATGAGTCCTAGTGAATTTGACAGTACCTGATGACAAGAACAACAGATACTGAGTCATGAGCTTTATGTCATTCTGCCGCTTAATTCTAATGAAAACTTTATGCAGGTATCGTATTAGACCTATGTATAAATGAAGAAGACGAGGCTCAGAGAAATGAGTTTTCCAAGGTCATTTTGTAAAGAATAGTAGAGATATTCATCCAACTCTGTCTGATTCTTGAACAGATTCTTCTCCCAATGTCGTTAATCTGTGTGCCCTGCTATGGTCATATCCACTAAATATTTACCTTTAGGTTGATAATTAGCTCTATCGATGTTGTTTATTTTTATTGCTATCAACTTCTGTTGTGCCACAGTGACTGAATGTTCCTTTAGGGGACACTTTTTTTACCTGTGCTGGGGCATCAGTACAAGAATGAAGGATGGCTTGGATGACACCTCACAATGTTCTCCTCTTCAAGATGCACAAAGAGAACCCTTCTCATTGCCCAAACCTTGCCGTAGCCCAGTGTGCCCTCCTTGCCTTGCTTTTGCTGATCTTGCCTGTAATGTGTCCTTCTAAATAATAGAAGGCTCTTCTGACTAGATTTTTCCCTCATCTAGAAGTACCTGTCTGGTCCAAATGTGTACTTGAACCATAAACTCTAAACCATAGTGTGTTACCTATTGAACTGCCATTCATATCCATGTCACTCTATGGAAGAAAGATGAGTCTTCTTCCATTAAAGATTCATAATCTAAGAAACTCAATGCAGGATGGAACCAACTAGACACCAATGAAAGACCATCTGAAAGGCCAATGACTTGAGCCTGTACAGATGTCCCTGAGAAGGACATCCCAATGATCTGATTATGAAATCTCACAAGTATGAAAATTCTATGGGGTTTAGTTCTACTCTGAAACATGGAATCACTATAAGTCAGAATTGGCAGTAAATCTACCCTCAACTGTCTCCTTCCCTTCTCCCCCAGCTGCCCTGCCTCTCCTTACCTGAGACACAGAGTAGCAAGTGCAATGACAGCAACCACGGGCACGTCCAGAGCCCAGTCCCCCTCATTCTAGTCCACTTTTGGATCCTCTGTCTGCTGCCCATCCCAAGGTCTCTCTGAACTGTTAGAGGATGTGTGTGCTCATGGATGTCTGTCATTGTCCCTGAGTGTCTGCACCCTAACTTTGCAATTGTGAACCTGTCAGTAACATGTGATGAGAAAGAGTAGCTTGGGGAAACGCAGATGGTAAAACAGAAAAAAAGCCCTACTCTTGTGACATCTTCCTTCCTGCCTTCCTTACATCACAGTCCTCTTGGGAAACACTCAGTGACTCGCTGTTCCCACCACATCCAGCCTGGGTTCCGTGGCCGGTACTTCCAGATCTTTGCACTTGAATGCTCATCTTTGCTCCACTTCCTGCCTCAAGTCACTAAGAGTTGCTTCTCTAGTCCCTGCCAACTCCAGCTGACCTGCTCTTCTCTGTTCTAGAATGATGATTTTCTATCCAGCAAGATTTCATTTAAGTCATCATTCTGCTGACCTGCCTTCTTTGATTTTCCTCCACACTATTGGTTCTCAACACTGGCATGCCACCTGGGTTCTCAAGAAACTTGGCAAATGCATATGCCCACATTTCACTCAGGGGAGCTCTAGTGGCTTAGTGGAAAGGAGTTGTGCTGTCAAACCAAAGGCACACGGTTCAAATCCACCAGCTGTTCTACAGGAGAAAGATAGAAAATTTGTTTCCATGAGATTTATTGCTTCTGAAAACCCATAAGAGGGTCAGCTATGAGTCAGTTCTAACTCAATGGCACACAGTAACAACTGTAGACTCCACTCCACACTGCCCAAAAGATTCTGATTTGGTGAATCTGGGAAGGGTCCTGGCCTAGAGGTAAGAAGATTCTGATTTGGTGGATCTGGGAAGGGTCCATGGCCTAGAGGTAAGAAGCTGTGCTGCAATCCCAAAGGCACGCATTTCAAATCCACCAGCTTCCAGGTGCTCCATGGGAGAAGGATGGGCAATTTCCTCCTGTGCAGTTTACTGTCTGTGAAAACCCTCTGGAGGGTCAGCTATGGGTCGGTTCCTATTCAATAGCACACACATCAACAGCAGATTGTGAGCTAACTGGCCACAACAGAACTGTCTGCAAAAATCCTGTTTAGCTCAAATGGTCCTGAGACATTCTTCAGTTGTCCTGCCTGGACCACGCAGGTGCTCCTTTGAGCCACACAGTCCAGGTAATAGGATGTAGAACAGGACACCTAAAATTAAAATAGGGTCACTACTACTGATGGAACTCCTACTGTGTACCAGCTGCTTAATATCAGTGATCTGGCCTCATCCGATCAAATTTAGGAAGTTATTTACAGGCTGTTTGTCATATTGGACTCTCTGGCATCAAACACCATTTCTCTTTGGGTAACATGACTCAGTTTGTGTGCGTCTCTATAGCATGCAGAGCCCACTTCCCCCTTTGTCTTGAGGCAGATTTTCCAGTGCAGTGATAGTGCAGACATGTGACTTAACCTTGATGTGGTCAAGTACACAAGTCTGCCCAGGATTCTGGGCCCTGCCTGCAGCTGTGATACAGGATGCAGAAGTGTTTGAGGGTGAGGCACACAGAGTCAATGTGTGCTTGCTCTTGGAAATTTAGGAGGATTTTGAACTTGACCATTGTTCAGATGGAGTCTCAGGTGATGAAAACGGTTAATTTGCTCAGATGTTGAGCAAAAGGTTAGAGCACAGTTCTGCCCTGAGACACAAGGGATTGCATTAGTGGGAGTGGACTCAGAGGCAATAGGTGTACTGCTGAATAGGAACAGAAGAGCCTGTGTTCCTATCATCACCAGGGAACCCTTCTCTTTAGAATCAGAAGAGAAAATCCTGACTGCCATCAGCATTGACATTTATGAGACACAAGCAGCTGTATAATTTTGTCTGGAGGTACTGAGGGGAAGTTATGAGTATTGTGGGTGGAGGAGGCTCCTGGAAGCCTCAACATATCATCCTACCATCCTGCTCCTTGTGTGCCCCAGGAAAAGAGACACATAGATATGGGCAGAATTTCTAGGAGTTCCAGTCAATGAGGCTTTGGAGTATTTGATCTTCCATAAGGAGTTCTCTCATTTTAGTCCCTGGTAAGTAAGTGGCAGCATGTTAACTATTGTTCTAGTCATGTTCTCCTGGTTTTCTAACTCTGGTGGTGTAGACCATAAGGAGGCACACTGCTAACCGAGGAGTGCTCCTCCTGGTGGTTGGAATCCACCAGTGACTCAGAGTGAGAAAGGCTGGCAATCTCCTCCGCACCATGAATTCACCTCCTCTGAATACCCAGTGGAGGGTCAGCTGTGAGTTGGTTCCGACTATGAATGAGTGAGCAATTGTTCCAGCTGGGAGCTCTAGTGGTGCAGACCCCAGGGAGCTGCCCTACTAACCCACGGTGATGCCCTGCTGGTGGATTTGCTGTGGGAGAAAGACTGGCAATCTCCCTGGCAATTTCCAACCTCCAAAAACTTCCTGGAAGGCCAGCTGTGAGTAGGGTCTGACTCAAAAGCGATAGGTTTGGAGACGTTTTCACATCCTCTTCTGTCTTTATGGGGTTTTGTTTTCATTTGTGAGGGCCCAGTAATAAAATGCGTGGAGGAGTCTCTTATATCACCTACTGACCCAATCCCATAGATCCTCCAATCTTCCCCATCAGTATTTTCATAAACCGAAGAAGAAGAAACAAAGTCATTTCTGCCACATGATGACGCCACGAAAGTCAGAGTGAGCTGTGCTTGGACACACCAGCCCACAGAGCTTTCAATGGTTGAGTTTTCAGAATTAGACTTTATTCCATGATGCTTCTGGAAAGATTTGCCAGCCCACCTCTCCAGTTAGTATCAGAGTACTTAATTATTCACATCACTTAGAGAATCCTAAAAAAACCCAGTTGCCCTTGATTAAATTCTGTTCAATGGTGACCATGTCTGTGTTGAGGTAGAACTGTATTGTCTTATTGTATGACTTTTAGGAACATTTGGGATAACACTGTTTTATTCCCCATGGTGTCTTATCTTCCCATTCCACACCCGTTTGTGGGATGTCTACTCTGAATGGGTCACAGATAAAGAAAGGAACACAAGTACCTGATTCTAGAGGAAAAGAAGGTCCAGAGGCCAGGATAGCAGGATGTTCCTGTGGTGAGAGCTTGACTACCTCAGGCCAAGAGGTCACAGAGCAAAGCGGATCAGTAGCTGTGCCAGTGGCACCTCAAGATGCCCCACAAGGAGGGACTGGAGAGCATTATAATGGACTCAGTCCCACAAGGACAAATATTGTATAAAACCATTATGGTAGAATGATTATGAGGATCCAAGGGGCAGGAGAGGCAGAAGGATGACGATGTACAGGGGAGGGGGGATTAGTCTTGGAGTTATACAATTTGATGTGTAAGGGATTGAGGGAAACTGGAAGAATGTATTCAAATGTTATAAATAAACTAGTTGTTGTTATTGTTATGTGCCGTCGAGTAGCCTTTGACTCATAGTGACCCTATGTACAACAGCCCTAAACCCTGCTCTATCCTGTACCAGTCTTATTTGTCTCTGACACACCTATCCCCATTACCCATCAATCCATCAATCAATCCATCTCATCAAGGGTCTTCCTCTCCTGTACTGTCTCTCTACCCTCCCAAGCATGACGTCCCTCTCCAAAAACTGATCCTGTCTTGAAACAGTCAAATGCCTTTGCATAGTTAATGAAACACAGATAGATATCCCTCTGGAACTCTCTGCTTTCAGCCAGGATCCATCTGACATTAGCTATAATATCCCTAGTGCCACAGCCTCTTCTAAATCCAGCCTGCATTTCAGCCAGTTTTCTGTTGATGTGCTGTTCCAGTCATTTTTTTATAATCTTCAGCAGAATTTTAGTATAATAATTCTTATTTTTTTCTGCTGCAAAAAGCTTTATTGTTTCATTTGGTCCAAGGCTTGAGTGAAGGGCTTCTGGGTGGATAAGATTCTACATCAGGGTGGGATAGAGAAGCTTGCTGCTGTTGTCAGGGGGAAACAGAGCTTTCCCCCTGCAGGTCCCTGCAGACCCCTAGTCATGCTTGAGGGTGAGACGCTCAAAGAGATACTCGTCCAGCCCAGCCTGGGGGCCGCCCAGTCTTCTAATTTTGGTCAGATGGTCACCCATCTTCTTCAGCAGTTTCACTTCCTCATCCAAGAAGTGGTTCTCCAGAAAGTCACAGAGATGGGGGTCAGTGTGGGCAGAACCCCTGGCGTGCAGATCCAGAAGAGCCTGGTTCAGGTTCTTTTCCAAGGCCAGAGCTGCTTGCATGGCGTCCAGGGTTTTACCCCACTCATTCTGGGATGGCTTCTGAATATCTTGGAAGAGGACTCGCCTGCCGCGCTGGTTTTGCAGCTTTAAGAGACGCTCCACACCCTTGCACTTCTCCTTCACCAACTCTTGGAAGAAGTGTCCCACACCTTCCAAAGCCACATCATTGCAGTCAAAATAAAAACCTAGAGAGAGGTAGGTGTAAGAGGCCCACAGGTGCAGGTTGACCAGACGGTTGACGCCAGCTTCTGCTTCTGCGGAATAATTTTGGTGGATCTGAGAGGTCATAGTTGGTTTAACTAAAAAAAAAAAGGTGTTAGCTGGTCCCAAAAATAGGAGATGGTTGAGATGGTCCCGAGGTTACACCTGGAGATGAAGTTGGAGGGAGGCTGGAAGGGGGGAAGTCGCAGGGTCTGTTTTGTCCAAACTCTCTTGAAGAAAGAGACAGATCCATGGGACGGTTGGGGAACTCAGAATCTTAGTATAATAATTTAAAAAAATAAAAGGTGTCCCATAAGGAAGCAACAGTGAGAGACGATGAACTCTATTTTTATTTAGCATAAATACTGAGACACCAGTAGAACCAAGGGCCAGGGCTTGATTGAGGTCTGTTCTTCCGTGGAAGGAACAGAGTACCATATCCAGAGTTACTGTGAAAGTAGAGGGCTAAGCATGACCAGGAAATTAGGTTCCTGTCGAGATAACCTGTAACTACAGGTTCAGTCCATGCCCTCGTCCTCCTCTCTGTCCACATCCACAATCTGTGCATACGCCTTTTCTGGCACAACTACCAGACATACATTCATGGAGGTCAGGAGTCATTCTCATTGCTTCATGTACCTAGCCGTGCCGCTGATCTCTGTGTAACAGCAAGCAGAACAGTGAAGACCAGACTCTTGGTCAATATTCCACACACCACGGGAATGACAATGCTGAGCATGGAGACCCTATAGGGAACAGAAGTGATTTAATGCCGTTGCTAACAACTAGGTTGCCTCGCACTTGAGTGCTTCCCCCACATAATTCTCTCATGACCTTTCCCCCCTACTTAGACCACTCTAGCACCATCCCCACACTGCCAGGTAGGTACCTGGGCATTTTAGTATGATACACTGCCTAAAACTACCAACTCAGATCCATCTAGCAGAGGATATAGGGCCCATGCCTCGAGGAGCACTGGGGAAAGGATCAGGCTAATCTCCTAAAGAAGTGATGGAAAATCTGCTGTCAATGACTTCTTTAAAGTGTAAAAAAGCAAGCCTATCAGTTTAAAGACTAAGGTGCACCTGATCCAAGCCATGGCATTCTCCATTGCTTCCTATGCATCCAAAAGCTGGACAATGGATAAGAAGAGACCATAGTAGAATTGATGCCTTTGAATTGTGGTGTTGGTGAAGAGGATTGACCATACCATGGACTGCCAAAAGAACAAACCAATTTGTCCTGGAGGAAGGGCAGCCATGGTGTTTTCTTGGAGACAAGTCTCACACATTTTGGACATGTTATCAAAAGAGGCTGGTTCTTGGGGAAAGACAGCATGCTGAGGAAGGTAGATGGTCAGTAAGAGAGAGGAGGACCCTCGACAAGATGGATTAGCATGGTGACTACCAATGTGGACTCATTCTAAGTTCATATCTAATTCCTTCCACGCCTCACAGGCCAGCCTGGCCTTATTCCAGCTGAGCTCCTGCCCACTTTCACGCATGCGGCTCCTGGACTATGATGCCCACTCCCAAAAGCAAATACTTGCTCCACTGTAACTCAGATTGCGAGACACCCTGAAGTGTCTGGGAATTCCTATCCTCTTGTAGGGCCTCTTTTAACCACTGACTGAGAAGGCAGGAGGAAAAATACTGTATGTTTCCATTCCTGATGCAGACAATTCTGTGACAAGCGTCCTCCAACCTAGCCCTGAGACAAAATTGCTCCCAGGACGTGGTTTGAGCTGACCCCTTGTTCTGTTTCGTTTCCTTCCCTTCTCAGTCCTACTTCCTTAGTGTTTTTACCTGGGAACATGCCCAAAAATGTTTTCCCAGCACTTTTCTCTCAGAGTCTGCTTACTCACCCAATACAGAATGATAGCATCTCCCTCCAAGGTACCCACTCGTCTCCCTAGACTGACTTCTCATCTCTCCTGTCACTTGGTCACACAAGTCCTTATTTTACACTTCCTTTCCCTCCTACACTGAAGTGATGTCTGTTTTCCTCACTGGACTGTGACTGAGAGAACTGTTACTAGCAGGTCATGGACAAGGTTCCTGCAGCTCCTAGCGGGACTTTGGAAAAAAGATCCCAGGATTTTATTACAGGGTTATTTCCTAAACATCCGAGCAGTTAGGCAAGCCTGCTTCACTGGGCTTCAGATACCACGGGGTGAACAGGATCCAATCTTTTGGAAGATAATTGGGCAACAAAAATATCTTGAACTCATAGCTGAACTTAGGTTTCTAAGTCAACAAATTGTGCAGGAGGAGATTGCCTGTCTTTCTTTCTCGGAGCTACTGGTGGTTTTGAACTGAGGTAGAGATGTGACCTTTGGGTAAGTACCACTCCCTATAGTCATGTCACCAGAGTTCCCTAATTAGGACATATTGTTGTGGTTGTGGTTGTTGGTATGTGCTGTCAAGTCAGAACTGACTCATAGCTGACTCTCTGGTGGATTTTCGCCCACAGAGTAGCTGGTGGATTCGAATAGCAAGCCTTTCAATTGGCAGTGCAACTCCTTACCCATTAGGCCACTAGACGTCCCTCAATAAGGATCTAGAACAATATAAATGTTCAGATTCTTTCCCATTCCTGAGAATTTATGCAGAACACACCATGAGTGCATGTGTGTGTGTGTGAGAGAGAGAGAGAGAGAGAGAGAAGGCAAAACATATATTCATACGTGAGTTAGGGTGCTCTGATAGCCTAGTGGTAAGAAGCTGCTCTGCAGTTCGAATCAATCCACCAGCTGCTCAAAGCTGTTCAAAGACATGTGGTTCGAATCACCAGATGCTCCTTGGGAGAAGGATGGACAATCTCCTCCCAGTTGATTAATTGCCTCTGAAAACCGGCCAGGGGGTCAGCTCTGATTTGATTCTGAGTCAATGGTACACAACAGCAACATGAGAGTTTTTAGTACTGTAAATTAAAAATAAGACAATATTTGCAAATAATTATGCAAATTTTATGGCTCGTCAATGGAAAAAGAATTAGGCATTCACTGAAACTACAGTTATAAAGACTAGGTAACAATCCTGGAGAATAGTTTTCATAGGAAAGAATATAAAATCTTTAGAATTGGAATTTCAATCATGTTTAAAATATATATGTTGTTGTTTGTCGTTAAGTGCCGTCGAGTCGCAGGCGACTCATAGCGACCCTGTGAAGGAGAGTCCTTGACGCTTGGGTGCCTTTCATCCTCTCTCCAA